GTTTTAAGCTTCGATAAAAAAGCAAAAAACAGTTGCAAATAGATAAACGCAAAGAAATAAATTCTTCGTTATACGCATTAGACGAAAATCCTCATTCCAATTTATGCTATATACATGACTGGAGATACACGCATTGTAGGAGATTCGAATTCGATTGCTTGAACGTCAAATTTGGAACATATAGCTAGTGCTCGGCGCGAGACGAGACTATCTCGAAAATTTCGAGACGAGACGAGATACGAGACGAGACGAGACCAACTTTTTCGTCTCGAAAGATTTCTGGACGAGACGAGATCGAGACGAGACCAACGCCATCTCGTCTCGACAAATCTCGGTCGAGACGAGACCAACGCCATCTCGTCTCGACAAATCTCGGTCGAGACTAGACGTCTCGATACATCAAAAATTTAGAAATTTAGCAGCAAATTCTCCGTCCTCTAGCCTTCTGCAAGGAGCGAGCAGCTTGGGGAAATGCAGTATCCTTCAAAAATTTTTTTAGAGACAATAGATAAAACGAATAATTATGATCAAAACTTTAACCAGTTTGCAAATATCCTGATTTTTACGTAAAAGACACTCAAATATGACACTAACTATATAACTCCAATTATAAATTGTATATACTGCGGGTAACGATTCCTTCGTATCCATAGCCCAAGTATTCTATGTATATGTAGTAACATAAGCTATGACGGTTACGAGTCATTCAGGTATTTCATGTTAACCTTCGTAAGCTCGTAACTACGTTCATAAGCCTGTGAAGATCAGCTTACGAACCAAAAATTTGACTTACTGGGTAAAAATCATATACAAGAGATATTGGTACGTATTGTCAAAAGCTCGTAAGGTTAGTAAGTTTACGTGTTTACGTACTAACGAAAATTGACGTGAAATGACTCAATGCAAGCGTCGTAAAATTTTGTCGTCCCGTTACTAGCTTACGATTAAGATTTATCCTTTATTTTTTTGTGTAAACTACTAGTATGTAGTTTACTATATAAGGAATACAAGGCCAATTATTAATATTCTAAATATTTGCAGTTTGTGTATTTGTATTTTGTAATTATCTGAAGAATACAAAAGATATTTTGAAAAACATGGATGAATGTCGAGACATCTCGTCTCGTCTCGACCGAGACGAGAATCGAGACGAGACGAGATGACAAAATCGTCATCTCGTCTCGTCTCGATTACTTCGTCTCGAGTCACTTTCGAGACGAGACAAGGCAATCTCGTCTCGTCTCGTCTCGTGCCGAGCACTACATATAGCGTTCGTTTTGAACATAACAAAGCCAGTGAGATGAACTAAATTCACATCGGGAAAGTTGCCCAAAAAAGGAGGTCTCTGACGGGAAAGAGGCGAGCACCTATGAAAGCATCGAGATTTCTGCAATCGAGATGAAAAATTTGTTAGGACATTTGACAAAATTTTATTACAAGTGTGGACTTTATGTGTAAGACTTCAGTGTCAGATTTGAACACGATAATGCTCGAGAAATGGATTTTAAAGCCGACCCTAAAAGAAAATTGACCCCGCGGAAAGACACGATTGATTTTTCTATTTAGCAGACATAGTATAATTGTATTATTTACAAATAAAGGTACAAATACATAATCTATTCTTTCAAAATAGCGACTTTTCAGGCACCTTTTAATTTTTTCTTACCTTTCAGCGTTATCGATACATATAAAAAATACGGAACATATTTCCCTCTGCTAAATATGAAATACAAAATACCTGTTTTGTAAATATTGGTCAAATACGAAATATATATTTTGAATACATACAAAATACATTTTCAAGTACAACACAACTTTTTAAAAACTTATATTTCACCAGAAAATTTAACAAAAGCCAATTATGTGTAAATGTTGAAATCGTTAAAATATATGTCCAATGAATAAAAATTTTGTGGTCACATTTACACGAATGAAATTATATCACGAATTTTACAGAATTTCCATACATATCTATCCCCAATTTCCAAATTCAGGTTTCACATTCCCTCATAATATCCTAATCTGACAAACTAACATGAATTTTATCAGGCAAATTTACAGGAAGAAAATATACAAAAAGCAAGCCATGAGTAGAATTGAAATCAACAGATTCAACCCCTATGCAGAATTCGCTCATAAAGCTACCACGGAAACATGCTATCTGAATCAAAATAAATAAACCGTTGCCAAGCGAGCCATCTCGAACAGGGAAGAGGAAGGAACCGGGCAAATAAATACTTTTAAAACCAACACCACTATCGAGAATTTGTGGCTAAAGCTGCCGCATAGTTGCAAACGTACTTTTTCGCCAGAAAGGAAACGTTGCCAGGGTAGCTCAAGAAGGAAAGAAGAAAGACACAACCAATTACTTCGACTTTTCCGGAATGGAAGCAAACGAGTTTAACCTACCAATCTTCTTTAGGGAAACCGGCGACGCCGGACTCACTTAAATAATTAAACGGTTTAAGTCAGCAAGTGAAAAATGGACAACCCATGGGCCCTTGATTTTTGGACAGAGATCACTGACCTCACAACAGACCCATACACAAATTGTGTCGTTTTAGTAGCTTGAATTTTCTTACGATGAAAATGATGAAATCGGTTCGTACTTTAATTCAGGAGGACGTAATTAATTGACAGCCAAGAAATCGCATCACAAAATGTAATCCAGTAAGAGCTGATGTAACTCAACTCTTTGCAAATGACTGAAGCCTGGTCGTATTTTAGAATGACATAGAAAGCTACACCATTTTTATGCCATCGTTCAAGGGAAGTAATGTCTGAACAAAGATAATTTGACGAAAATATATATCCGCCCCTTGCTAATTACATACTATTAAAAAATTGTTGTCATCAATCTGATCTGGTCAATGTACGGTTAAAAGTTCCTGCATAGGTCGCATATTTAAAGCGAAGCACATACATAATCTTACATGAAAACGAGCAATTAAGCAAGTTCCAAGTATTTCTTTCGGATAAGTGATCTTGGCAATCATGGTAATTACTTCGAATTAAGAAGGGTCTTCAGAGCAGGATTTTCAGAAAAGGTTGAATAAAATTAATAAACTCATTTAAATATAATTGACTCTCACAAGTTAAAAATTTCCTATTTTCGTCAGGAATTGGCCGGAAATTTCAGAACTAAATTCAGATTGACTCAATTAACGTGAGTGTCTATTTTGCTTTATAAATCTTTCCTACTAAATATCGCTAATATTTTTTTCTGTTTTTAAATTTAGCCTTCAAATTTTAGTCCTTTGTATTCTAATGATTACAACTAATTATTAGCATTAAATGCAGACTAAATATATCACCAGCTGCAAAAATACATGCCCGAGGACGTACAGTGTCGGACAGATGTCTACGTCCACATAGTCGCGTCAATTTCATTTTCAAATTGTCACTGAACTACTGAACCAATTTTCATCATTGATATATCAAATTCTCACAAATTTAACGTAATTTCATAAAACATATGAGTTATTTCTGAAAATTCTGGGAAAACTGAGAATCATAGTGCAGAGCGAGAGAGGATGAAATTTGAGCGGACAAAAGTGTACGTCCACTTCACTTTAATTGTCAACAACAAAAATCTCTCCAATTTATAAAATCAGGTAACTTAATAAATCTATCAATAACATATGCCGCATTAATTTTTAAATAATTTTCTTCCAGAAAAATATGATGGCGTCGACACGCAAGGAAATTCCTATCGCTATTCGAGATCTTGTCATTCAGGACTGGAAGGGTGGACAAAAAGGGGGCTGTCGCAGAGACAAATATGGACCAAGTATAAATTAGCAAGGACAACCATCCAGACAATCATTAAGAACTTTAAAGCTAATGGTTCAGTCCAAAACAAGGTCAGAAGTGGTCGAAAACCCATTTTGGCTCACCGAGAAGTACGCCACGTGCTCAACAAAGTCAACGTTACACCCTCACTTAGTGCTCCAAAGCTATCTACCGAGATCAAGGAGATGTTCGGCAAACAGGTTAGTCCTATGACCATCCAAAGAACACTGAATAAGGGAAATTTGAAATCCCACAGAGCAGTCCGGAAGCCTCTTATTGTACCGAGGAATGCAACCAAACGAGTGAAGTTTGCCAGAGACCACATTTCCAATCCACAAACATTCTGGGACATATTTTATGGACTGACGAGTCAAAGTTCAATGTCTTTGGGTCAGATGGGCGTCGTAGAGTGTGGAGATATCCAAAAGAAGCTTTGAATCCAAAAAATCTCAACCCCACAGTTAAGCACGGCGGCGGGTCGGTAATGGTGTGGGGATGCATGGCTTCAAGTGGGGCAGGAAAAATGGAATTTATTGACGGAATTATGGACCAATACAAGTACCAGGGAATACTTGACCGTAATATCCAGGAATCTGTTCGAAAACTTGGACTTGGACGACGATTTGCCTTCCAACAAGACAACGATCCGAAACACTCTGCCAAGTCCACCATGGAATACTTCAAGAAAAAAAAATTCCGAAGCTAGAATGGCCTCCCCAATCTCCAGACTTGAATCCCATTGAGCATCTGTGCGACCACATTGAAAGAGAAATAAGAAAACAATCTTTTTCAGGAATTCCGGGCCTTAAATCCAGAATTCGTGAAGTTTGGGAAACCATTTCTGAAGATGTGACCAAGAATTTGGTAAACTCAATGACTCGACGCCTTGAAGCCGTCCTTAAAGCGAACGGAGGCCCAACCAAATATTAAAAATTAATTGTTATAACATTCCTTATAAATTACAGTTTTTTTTGTATGTTTTCTCTGACTGGACGTTGACTTTTGTCCATCCAATTGTTTTCATTTTGAATTAAAATACATCTCTGGCCTAAAATAAATTTTTTAGCGGAAAACTAATAATGTGCTATGAAATTACGTTAAATTTGTGAGAATTTGATATATCAATGATGAAAATTGGTTCAGTAGTTCAGTGACAATTTGAAAATGAAATTGACGCGACTATGTGGACGTAGACATCTGTCCGACACTGTATACATTTTGATTATTTGACCGCAGATATTTTTGTGCAGGCTAAAATTAAGAATTTAAAATTGAAACGATACTAAAAGTTATGACTGATTTTTAGTACGGCTAATTTTTTTTAACGTTAGCTAATCACATTAATGGAATAAATACGTGTAAAAAATAATGATGGCCTTAAAATTCAGTTCCCACGCTGTCCAATCGTTGAAATATTTTCGGACGACAAACCGATTTTTCGTGTAAAGGACGCACTGATTTTCTTGAAGGGGTTCCATCCATATCTGTTAATGACAAAGCATATTTACAACCGTGTGAAATAAAATTTTCAATATGTATTTATCAATAAATCTGCGAAAAATATTTAAATGTAGTCAAAATCCAAAAATAAAAATATTTCGTTAGAAAATATGTACCTGCCAAGATCCATTAAATATAAAAATGGGTCGATTTTAAGGGATTGCCAGACTCATCTTCAGTTCTTAACGACGCTTTTCTAAAAATAAATCAAACAATGCGTTGGTCAAAAACCCATGGAAATATTGAAAACTACTTAATAACTATACTGTAAATAAAGTTGCGTAAAATTAGCCGCATGAAGGCAAATTTTGCCGAAGGGTGAGCCAAAATTCAACAATTTTAAATAAATTTTAAATTTCCTACTACGAATTCTACACAACCAGTTGTTTCATTCCCAATTTTAGTCATACTTGTGCACATTTTACTACATATAATTCAACCAAAACAACTTAACGGCAAGATTAGTTTATTATAAAAACGAATATTTTTCAAACATAAATATGTGGACGAATTTTTACTTCATGCAATAGTCTTTTTAATGAACTTGTAAAATGACAATCAAGATTTTACAACAATTTACATACTTCTAATTCCGTGAGTCTTGGTTAAAAAATCTCCATTTTCTACTCTATGTAACGTGCCCCACTTTGCTATGAATATTTTAGTTAAACACGTAACTGTATTTTATCACAAATTTCCTATAATCTTTATTTGCTAAATTACGCTGAATAATTACGTAAACTCATCAACAAACCTTTAATAAGTTTCTTTTTAGCATAAAAATTGTTTCCGTAAAAATTAAATACTTACGATTTTCCGCTAATCTCCCAACCAATTAATAATGACGTAAGGAAGACGAATAATTAGCGAGTAGATTGAAGAATTGTGAATTTCGACGCCTACATAAATACAAAAACCAATTTACATTTACAATCAATTGAATACTACATAGACAAACGGAATCAAAGGAAAGTTCCTTACGTGAAGTCATCATTTTTGCAATATATTTTTTGCAAGCCCCCAAAAACGCCGTACTTAAATAAGATGATCGATATCAAACGCAGCGGGTCTTGTACTGGATCACATTCCAATTATAATACCCTCTCCCCCCCAACTGATCCAATTTAAATTAATCTTATTCCATTAAAATCTTAGTTTTAAAAATCACAAAGCACTGATTAAAGTATGTAAAATGGGAAACGATACTGTGAGCAACACGAGATATGTAAATGATATCAGGTAATCAACTCTGTGCAAGGGGCCGTTCATGAATAACTTCAGTACTTTTTCCCTTATAGAATTTTGCTCTCTTCATCGCTTTAAACCCATGCAAGTAATTGACAACATGTGAACAAGGCAACCCAATCTTTACCAAATCGTGACATCATATCTGCGCGGCCCACAACGGCGACATAAAGTCAAAATCAGAAGGAAAAAGTTATTTATATCCGCTCCCAATCTTCTCGATTCAAAGTGTACAGAAATGCGAATGTGCATATTTACACATATGTATCGCGTCTAGGAAATGATGCAAATTCGCAAATTTTGGCACTTTCGGAATAAAAATTCGGAAAGTCAAATACGTCGGCTTTACTTATGAAAACCCATTCGACAATAAATTGATTTTTTAAATTTTAGTTAAAAATTAAACTTTCTAGAACTTTCTTTGAACTTTCTAGAAGTGCTAAATTCTGAAAAATGTTTCATTTACATGACATTATATACTGAACAGTCGTGCTACACATTTATGTATTTGATTTGATTTGATTTATTCACATCAAGCTTGATTTATAAAAATCTTGTTACGCTTGACGGCTAACACAAAAAAGTTTTACACAAATGTTTGTCACATGTATAAGAATTCGAGTGATAATAATATAATTTATAATTGTGACTTAGTCATAAAGAGCAGAATTAAAATTATATGTACATATATTTTAGGATAATAAAGTAGAGATAAATTCATAATCATAATTTAAGAACAAGGTTTTAAGATTTGTTTTAAAAAGTTTGAAGTTTTGTGTTTCCTTTAATTCAGTAGATAACCTATTCCATGCAATAGTAGTTGTGAAATGAAGACTTTTAGAACTCATGCTATCAGGATAAATTGTGTTTTATCCAAGTTTAATATCATTCCATTTTTGTCCATCCACTCAAGTATTGCAAGTAGGTCGGATTTGAGTTTATGAATAAGAGAGGGGAGCATATGTACCGCTCCCGCGATAACTAGCTGAGTATCGTCGATTTGGAATTTACACGAGAGTAGCTCAATCTTGGATTCATCATTAATAATAGTACTCGTCTCCAACATCTTACACTTCACATACGATTTGTAGATAATTGCTACACCGCCTCCTGATCCAGTTCTGTCTTTACGGATTATTTCATAACATTTAGGTGTCCTATTATTAATGGTGTTTGGTGATTAAAATGTATAGATGAGTTTCCTAGTCACTGTGTGTCCATGTGACTTCCAGGGTCGGAGTTTCTGGTTCTTCGCTGCTTTTGTGTTGGAAATTGAATTCCGGACGCGTGATCATCTGCCGGTTGCTTATGTGAGCTACGAGATCTTGTTTGTACTGGAGTCCTGGAGTTTTGTTTGAGTTCTTGTTGTTTCCTTGTGAGATCTTTTTTGACAGATATTTTGTCGAATTGGACTAATCCCTTTAGATTCTTGCAATTGTCCAGAGCTAACTGTCTTTCCGTTGCGCTACTAAAGCGTAGCCTGACCGGTCGTAGAGATGATGTGGTGAGCTGTCCTATCCTTTCATCAAGTTTAAGAGAGGTGTAAGAAGTGGGGTAGATGATTTTAAGAAGGTCCGTGAGAAGTTTTTGTCCGTCATTTGTTTCAGGGATCCCCATCACCACCAAATTATTTAGTTTTCGGATTTTTCTAATCTCCTCGTCGTATTTTTCTTCAAATTTCTGGAAATCGCTTTTAACCTCGTTTTGGAACGACGTAAGGCTCTCTTGCATAGCTATCTGGTTTTCAACAAGTTTTTCTTTCTCCGCCTCCATATTATCCAGTCGTTTCATAATGTGCGATTGTGTGTCTTTGACATCCTTGAATTGTTTCAGCATGGTTTTATAGATAAGGTCGAGATCTATCTTTTTAGGCGATGAGTGGGGGGAGGTTTGGCGATCTGGGCTTGTGGTCGGCATGATTACCAGTCGATGTGGGCCTGTTTCACAATATAAATTCTGTGCCAGTATCTTTTGACCAACATATTTGGAAGAGACGGGTCCTCTCAAAGGCAGGACATATACTTTAAGTAAGAGAACTTACTTTTGGTGAAGACTGTAATGGTGAGAAATGAAATTTTCCGTCCTCCTCCTTCTTTTTGTCGATTTATGTCGAATTATGATGAGTATGGCTATTAATTTTGTATTACAAATGATCAGGAAGGTTGGGGCTTTAAAACAATGTAAACGGTAATACTGTAGTTGCAGTTTAAAATTCTTAAAAATTATTTAAAACGGGAGAGCTAAGATTTAATGTGTTGCTCTTTACAACCCAGCTGCATATGTATCACCATTCCGGGTAGCATCATAAACATACATTTGCACTAGGGGCACTAATGATTTATATCCGTTGATTAAAGAGTGTTATCATGTTTTAGCAAAGCCACGCGTGGAGCCGGAGTTGATCTTGTTCTGAATTTTCTCCGGGTTTGGATTTCTGTGAGAGATTTGTCCCATGTGTAAAAGATGCTCAATTTTTTTCATACCACGCTATTCTCCACATGGAAGTAGATCGATAATCATGGATTCCCAGCTGCTGCTCATTTCCTAAATAATTTTTGTGACATTGGAGATACATATTTCATAGAAAATTTTACCATATTTTTATTTAAAAAATTGTCAACATCTCGTAATTGTCGTGTTATCATGTCAATCGTCATACTTGGTCGTGTAAGTGTGGAAAATATCTCAGATCCAGTGGAACCCGCACTGGACTTAAACTCCAATGTAGAGGTAAGCCGTTGTACATTACATTTGCATTTAATTATTTCCTAAAATTTCCAATATTTCCTGTTTAGTTTTGCTATTTGTGTATGTATGAAGAAACTGTTAAGATGTTTTCAGTTTTTAAACGTTGTAGGTATGTATTCACATTAACCTTTCAAAAATTGATGTAAACACATACATATTTGCACAAACTACCATAAATTTCATGTATTTCATAACTCGAACTTAATTCGGCTCGTAAATTTTGCAGAAATATATTTTTTACAGTTTGAGGATTCACGTCAACTTCGTAATATAACTGTAAACCTTTCACAACGCTGGAATGTTGCCGATTATTTTTTTGCTAAACATGCGAAGTAGCAGTAATCTTTCATAATATCAACTGTATATTTTTCAAAGTAGAATTTTTGTTTCTCATCTGAATTTCAAAGTTATTGTTTATTGTTTTTAAAATTCATCGCGTTTCTCGCAATCGCAACTTCGCATGTTGTGAAATACTTGGAAATACGATGCTTTCCATGTTTGAGGCGCTTACGTGAATTTCCACCAGACATTTTGTTGCACATGCATTAAAAGATTATTATGATAATTAATATGGAAATATCAAATTTTAACGGTTTTGATAAATATTAACCAGAATAATTTCTACATATTTATTTCTAGGATGCGCATCCCGAGATTGACTACTATCTCGTACAATTTGACGAAGGCCCCACCCCCCTCCAATTCTACTCGAACCTCTTCTCCTACACTTTCCGCACCCGGAACACAACTTGTGGCTTCCTAAAAGGCTTCTTCGCCACCTTAGCGACCATACCGTTCATGTGCTACGCTTTAATCGCTTCTATCGGCCAAAACCTGCGTGGAATCCCGATGTACTGCGAGGGCGAAGGTTCCTCCATCCTGACCCAAGTTTGCTTCACGATTCCACTAATTTTCCCCGTCCTCCTCACAATTCTGGACTATTTGATGTTTCAAACTTTTCGAAAACTACATGAGACTGAGGAACCTTTCTTTAACGAAAAAACGAGCATCATATTTCGTAGAGTGGCTCAATTTTTGCAAATTTGTCTGCTCTTAATGGCGCTCGGGGGTGTGGGGGTAGTTTCCCTGATTATATTTCGTACCTTGTCCTACTTCTGGGTTTTTGAGGGGGTCGATTTCTGCTACACGGGGGAGATCTTTTGGTGGAAAGTGGGGGCAGAAGGGGTGCTTTGGTTGGGATGTATTTTGGGAATTTGTGGCGTGCTAGCCGGACACAAGATGATTGATCGCAGTGACGATGTGGTGGACTGGATGGGTGTGCCGATTGATATGTTTGAACGGGAGGGGGAAAGAAGGGAGTGGCGGAGACGCGGGAGGTGATGGACAAGCCTACTTTAATAGTCTGAAAAAAATATGAAACGTTACCTAACAGATTGTTTTATATTCTGTCCCAAAAACTTAACAAACTCAGAAAATTTTCATTTGAATTGAGGCAGATTGCGAAATTATGAAATTTAGCTAAATACAAATTTCTCATTAATTTGAAATGATAGTGGAAATTGCAAAGTTCAGTATTATTGTGTCATTCTTAAGCGGAATGGAAATAATTTAAACTAGTTTTTTAAAGTCATCTGTTTTTAAGTAATTGTAAATCGTGCCAATCTTTGTCAAAACGCCGGAACAAAAAATCCCACATAAATTTAAACATACTTCTAAAATTGAATGTATTATAATTTTATATAAAATTCATATACTTATATATTCATATATTCATACATATGCATTTTATTCATATATTTGACATTACATTCATCTATTTACATACATTTACCCAACGTAATTTCAGGAAAGCTTGCTGTAAAAACTTAGAATTCCAATGGAACAAGTGTTTTAGAACATTTGCCAAATTTCACAAATTAATTTGTGTCATTTTCTGGGTTACTAAACTTTTTGGTTTAAAATGGTCGAATTTCTTGCCGCTATGTTTTATATTTTCTTTGGAGAAAAATTAACTCGATTGCAGATCTCATGATTGCAGAAAATTATTAATTTTCTTTGGAACAAAATATTATTTTCTTGTGCGCAATAAATTTTACCCTAAAACTATTTTGTCAAAGAGTATGTAAATAAGATACGAAATATAACGTTACCATAGTAATCCCATTGTGCATAGAACATATTTTTACCCACAATCGGGAAGAATTCTAAGAATGACGCAATATTGCGAAGAAATGAATATGCATTTAGTAAAGTAGTTATTTCTGTATGTCCACGATACATCTTTCCAAACACCGCATAGTTGGTAAGATCTGTTGCGAAGGGCCTATTTTGATGAATATCTGCACATAGACAATTAAATATTAAGCGGGTTTGCATTTTTTGAGGTGTTCTGGTAGTTAATATTTTCGTCGTGGTGTTCTCCCCTGTCACAATATTTCTTGGCGACACCTCCCTAACTAAATTCCTGGCCTGGTCACATAAAAATTAACCTCATTTATTTTTAATTATTACCACTATAAATTTTAACATGTTCTTACTAACTTACAACATTGTAAGTTAGAGACCTCCATTTGGTCTCCCAACGTACGCTTATATATTTCGACCAAAATATCGACAATCGGTCACAAATTTAATTAGTATGGAATTAGCAAATAACAATCTCAGCCAGTGCGCAGGTTTGGCAAAGATATTTGCATTTAAAAAGGGGAATAGCGCCCCAAGGCTGGCAAACTTCCCAGGTGAAACATTTAAAGGATTTTATGCATAAATTTGGCTGGTTTTTATGTAGAGAATTGGTTGGATTTTATGCAGAAAAATTTATGCCGAAACAATTTGTGCATAAAATGTGCAGAATCATGCATAATTATGCAGAATATACCTGTCAGAAGTCTTATGCAGAATCGTTCATACTTTTTCTGCACAAACCATTTGTCCGGGCAGTTGTGTCGAATTATGTCAAATTCGACACACCATTTTCACCCGGGTTTACAGTTTCCCAATTTTTTCTGTGCATTTTTCTCGCTTCGGATGCAAATAACTTTGCCAAACCTGTGCATTGGCAGAGGGTTCTGTTTGCTAATTTCATGCAAATTATATTTGCGATCGATTTGCACCAGTTTGTTTCATTTCGTGAGCATACGATGGAAAGCCTCCATTGTTAGTTCATTTGCCAAGAATTGAACTTAAACTAAATCCAGTCATTGGGTTAGGTAAGCGTATGAAGGCGAACATCCTATGGATATAGTTCGCGGAACAGGATAAAACTGTGTTAGGTTAGGTTAATATTATTTCATAATTGACATTCCCAACTAAATCTCTGACTCATAAGGATGGGGCCATCCATAAATTACGTAACGCAAAAATCATCATTTTTTAGACCCCCCCTCCCCCCTCGTAACGGCATCGTAACGCTTCTAGACTACCCCCCTCCCCCTTCGTAACGTAACGTAAATTTGATTTCACCGCAGGTAATTTCTTTAACAGTAACTTGCAAAATTTTCATTTGTTCCAGGTTGTGTAGACAAATGTCGCTTTTATTGCTTCAATTTCTTTTAAATTGCTAGATAAATTAGAATTTTGTGAATTTCTTGTTCAAGAACAACGAAATCATATTCGACATCATCATATAAGAAATGGAAATTGTAAATCTTACAGGTCTCTCAACGTTTACCAAGACTCACAATGGAACCTTTTGTCAAGTTGCACCCGGAAAACTATCGTACGACCATTAATAGATGAGTACAATTCTTGACAACCATCATGGCGCCTAAGTGACCTCGTTGGGGCTCAGGTGATCGGCAAATTCGATCAAATTCTCATCTTAAAGGTAAGGCTCAATTAATCGTGAAACTTACGTCACACCATCGCCCTCCGAGGTCACTGTGGAGGAATAATGGTTCACAAGTAGGCAAGAATTTTGCTCTTCTTTTAATGTGAGCACCATAATGAAAAACGTATTTACATGCGTACACTGAAACCTTCGGGATGACATGAGTTCAATTCGATTTTTAATCGCGTTTATGAAATGCGTTACGTAACAAATTTGTTATACCCCCCTCCCCCTACATAACAATTCGTAACGCTCTTCCCATGACCCCCCCTCCCCCCCTTTTGCGTTACGTAATTGATGGACGGCCCCGATGTGCAAATATCATTAACTTATAATCGTTTTGTATTACTATTTAGACGATCATAACTTTTTTGACTAATTAGTTAACTATCTGAAACTACTTATTTTTGACATAGAGTTTTTTGGTTTATTATTTTGGGACTTGCAACCCTTTATTTTCATTTATGTTATAACAATAATACTACAAAAACCGGGGACATAATTCGCATACATAACATAAATCCTTAAAATATGTTGTAAATCCTTTGCAGCCAGAATACATACGAAAATTAGTACATGATATGAGAAGTCCTAAAATATTTAGAGTTACCTTTCTATATACACATATTCCAGTTTTTGTAAATTCAAGCATTTTTGTCTTATCATTATTGCACCCTTAGAAATAATGTTACCAGTTTGAAACACAAGTGAACTCTGAATTCTGTATTTATAGTAGGCTACAAATATGCAAAATCCAGTAAAAACTGTTCCCCGTCTCAAGTTAGCGTTATGGACTTTGTATAGTTTACTTAATTTAGGATTGAAACTGAATTTACTTTGCATAGAGTCACATTATTTTTACTTGTGTACTATTTCATGCTGCAAATCAGCTTATTAAAATATGTTTGTCATTCCAATAATTTCGAATGCCTAATTTACACACTTTTTATTAAAGTTTATGTAGATTTCTACGTCAACTATTAAACTTGGAGTTAAATTAAAACTTTCAATAATTAATAATCCAATACCTCGCTAAAACACTAATTTTTCTATTTAGCAAAATTTTAAACCATGATTTAAACCATAAAGCCATTACCTATTGCGAGACCTTTAGTACCTACATATGTGTAAATACTCAACAGGTGCTCTTAAATAGTTGCAAAAGACCATGATTACCAGAACATGTTGCAAAAACAGATTTAATGCGTATAACAATATACTTTTTGTTTAAAATACTTATCTACGTAAGTAGGAAGTTCACGATATACTTGCATAAATGAAAAATGGGGCAAAATCTCATTTGGTCTGTCGCTTATTTATTTAATTTATACTGAACACGATCAGCCAACATCTTGTAGACAATGTTTGTGATAAGTATTACAGGAAAAATTATGTCGTGTCATTTAAGTTAAGGCCAATTTAGCCTGTATCTTTCCCGAGGGGATTCCTGACCATTATTCAAAAAAACGACCAACACAGACAACAAAATTAACGACAGACTAAACCTATCCAAAAAACTTACAAAAATATTGGGTATGGAGAATTTCAACAATGTCCAGTATTTTATTTACCTAATCATTCGCTTTTCTCAGAATAATATATTTTTGTGAAACATGCAGCTCTGTATACACATACTCGGATTGATATTCATTTTTATGGAGTTGGGCTAGCTCTAAGCCCAAATGGGCAGGCAATTCCACACATTCCTTGTCCAAATCTTGTACCATTACGATATACGGAAAATTCATTATTTTATCATTGTATACACTCTTCCTGATGACATGAAAATAAACCAAGCACGAACAGCTATCCCGCAATTAAATATAAATATTTAGTAGAGAATTTATCACAGGGATAAAATAGACGACAGCAGTATAACAAAGTATTCTATGATATAAATCTGTAGCCAGGGAGTTTCAATACCATGAAACAAAAACACCCAGTTACATTACAATGATGGGCACTACTTATTTGAATTAAGTTTAAAGCACTCTAAGACATTTAAGCGTTTAGGACGCACTTATGCCAATTCGCCAAAGGTATGCGAGTGAAGTTCTATAAATTTTGCTTATTGCTTTCAAAAATATAGGGTGGATCGTTTCGGCGGTATCGGTAGAATACCCTGACGGTTTGAGCCGCGTTAGCTGCGCCATTGGGTTTGATCGAGGATAGAGGATCGAACCTGATCGCTTCAATGGTCAGAAATGCTTTCTCAGATTTTGACAATGACGCTCTGCGCTTAATAAATTTTCCAAATCAAGAACCATTTTAATTGCAGAATACGTTTTTTGTCAATATGGTAATTTAGATACGATACTTATTAATCTTAAATTCATTTAAGACACATGCAAATACATTAAAAACACAAAAGATGGAATTTTTTTTCTTCCGCTCCCCTTGAGGAACCCGCATCGGGGTAACTTGAGGATACTTTTACCCTTCTCGCTACCCGAATCCTCACCAAAACTGGATAGTCCTACCCCATCACCGAGAACAAGGAAGAGTAAACTAACTTTAGGACCACAGCCTTTAGCTCGTTTGAACAACGATGAACGTGATCCCGTGTATTTAGGGCTACCAGAGTTTTCTAAACTTCTAGATGATTGATTTTAAATTTTAATCGTCAGGAAGTAAACCAGCTGAACCTATGAAAGACAAAAATTCCAAAGTTCCTCAACGTCCAGACCAGAACCATCAGGGACTTCACCCTCGGATCAACCGATTTCCTCGCGAACATCCACCCCAAACACCATTTGAGACTTGCCCATTGCCTGTTGTTCTGCGTGAACATCTGAACTATCAGTAACCAAATTGGGCTGGTACAATTCTCTTTACGAATTTGCCATCACTCTTCCTCCAACTCTTTCAGTAATGATATGTACAAATAATAGTGACACACATCATTTTCCTTTGATTCAGCCTGATACATAAATCTCTTGTGGGCTTGTGGTGTGTGGGTAGTCGAAATAACCTGTGGTTGTGCCATTGTTCTTGGCTCCACTTACCCACCCATATCTCCTCCTTTTCCATCCATCACAGGGGCAGATGCTAATATATATTTCAGCCTCCCATCATCAATATAGCTATACCATCTCGTTGGAGTTCTTTCAATAATTCTGACTTATGTATATAACTCGGGCCCACCATCTTAACACTAAACTTTTTGCTACTCTCGGGCACCCTAACCTCAATTCAATTTATAATGCGTCCTGGTTACTAAGTGATGTTGGCCTTAACCTAACTAATACTCATCCTACTTATTTCCACGATTTCATGGCTAAATATCATCAATTAGTTAATCTCAATCTGAAAATAGTTTGGGTTTTTCTCTTATCCTTGTTTTGTTCTTATTCCTTTTATTAAAATTGGGTTCTTCATCAACAACTTATTTTCCTTCAGACGCGGGAAATAAAATGACGTTTAATTTGTATCTCAGAGTTATCCGGACATATACAAAGTACAGAATACATTTCATCCTGGTGAATTTGCTATACAAAATTTGCTTTTCAAAACGTTAATAGAACTATAGACTGCGTATTTTAAATACAGCCAAAATACGTTTTCAAGTCTACAATAAATAACAAAAACCGCTTGTTGCACCATAAAATTAGACCACCAAGCCCAATGTTAAGATATGCATATGTAGTGTATTTATCTAGATTAAATTGAATGATTTTGGGATTTCTTTCAATGTAATAGATTGCAATAAAATAAATAAAGAAAATTCAACGCTAGCACACGTTTCTTGTTTGTCTCCCGGCTTGATGAATGAGTTTCATCACTAATGCATAAATTCTTAACTTGACGAATGCTCAAACTAGTTTGCATCTTAATTTTCCTCACTTTGATACATTTCAATACATTTTATTCTGCATACCAATGATGGTGGCAATTGAAGTACACACATCTGTATGTCCTGTATGTACTTCAAGACCCTATTTTTTAATTGTAGAATATATGTAGAATTATGCACAACTTGACCGCCAAAATTTCATTGTTCATTGGGCTTGAGAAGTATAAAAGAAGAGGCCTATACCGCCAATTATTCATTTACATTAACAGTTTCACACCTCAAAGCACGTATCGCACCTTCAGTAAACCTTCACAAACATGGCGACTACACAGGGAGACGACAAATCTGCGGGCCCTCATTGTGAAACAAAAAGGCGATATTGTGAGACTTGTCATCAGGCCCCGATTTAGGGGCGGGCAACCCGGGCAGCTGCCCGGGGCGCCAAACCCCGGAGGGGTGCCGGTAGGCGCCCCGGAGGGGTGCCGGTAGGCGCCCCGGTTTACACTAGATATAATTGAATTTTCCTGTTGTAAATTTTGAAATTATTTTGCTTGGAGTTTTTATTTTTATCAAGTTTGGACAACTCGTTGCGACAGTTCTGGTGTGTTGAGGCACCACTGCAATTTTTGAAACGCGCAGCTTCTAAATTTTCACCCATGCTCTAAATAGAGGGATTTTATGCAGAAATTTGGCTGGGTTTTACGCAGAGAATTGGCTGGATTTTGTACAGAAAAAATGTATGCCGAAACAATTTATGCACAAAATGTGCAAAATTATGCATAATTGTACTAAACCTTTCTGCAGAATCATTCATACATAGTTTTTCTGCACAAACCATTCTTCCGGCCAATTGTGTAGAATTATTTCAATTCGACATACATACGATTTTCACTAGGGATGGAATAAATTTTACATTTTTACATTTTACGAGAATTTTAAAACTAAATCGGAGGGTTAGTGATAAAAAATTGCTTAGGAAAAATTACACTGAGGATGAATTTCGGGATATTTCTAAATTAGGTAAAAACGTTACCTAGTTAAAACTGCTCATTGAAATCTAGAAGAATACAGGAAAACTTTAAATTTTTGTAATTTGAAAATAAAACGCAAAAAAATAAAAAATCTTAAATAAACATGTCCCCAAGGGTCAGTGAGTCAGCGGACGGAGCGGATGTGCGCTTCGCGCACATCCGCTCGGCTTGGTTTGACCTGCATATGAGGTCAGCGTTAGACTTACCTGGCCTCTGGGGAGGTGGGAAAGTATGGTTTTAACTCGAAATAAACCGGGGAGGCCCAAATATATGAGTTGTATTTGAGAAATAAGCTTTTAAGTTGAATCTGTGGCCTACAAATATTGATCTGCTCAATATTACGCAAATTTTAAGCTATTCCACATTAAAACTGCTGGAGAGTAAAAAGTTTGCTATCTCATTGTATATGTCCATTCTAATAAGACCTGCGTAAAAATATTTTGCGCAATTATTTGATTGAGAAAAAAGTCACGTGCGAGCGCCGAAGGCGCGAGCGGCTATGGGCGCCTAATTTCTTTGCCCAGGTAAGATTTTGGGGTAGATCGGGGCCTGCTTGTCATACAACTTTCGTAAGTACATCATATTTACCTAGGACAGTGAAGAAAAGAAACGACTAGAGAAGAAGGTCGAGCAAAATTGCGAGACCTTCCACAAGATATTAAAGCGCCGAAATCAAGAGTTGTTTCGTGGAATGACCAACAGTAGCCGTGACCAACTGCTGCTGTTGGGTCACATCGCAGCTATTTACTTCCAATTAAGGTAAGAACAGTTATTTTTTATTCTGTATTATTTTACTTTATTGTTGCAACAAAATCGATTGGATATATAATTTCAATTTAAATTATTTCTTACAGTTCCCCACCTGCAGCAGCCCTGAGAATTCCCCAGCCAAGCAGCCCAGAACCCAACAACCATAATGCGTAATAGCGTATTATGTAAGAGTAATAATATATTATGTAAAGATGAAATGAAATTTTGTCCAGTCTTGAAAGATTGAAATAAATTTGGTTAAATTATGAATTTTTGATTTTTTACTCGACGGAATCTATTTATTTCATCAGCATTATATAAATATCCAATGATAATGTCAATTCAACCTGCAGCATTGACTTTTCGGCAATCGAACTGAAAGATTTGTGGGAATACCTGGTAAAGGTCTTTCAACGAAATAGACGATGTAGTTTATCCTAAGAATTCCATCATTGCAGATATATACACAGAGGTGGGAAGTAAAATGACACTTAATTCATTTATCAGGGTTATCCGGACATATACAGAGTACAGAAAACATTTCATCCTGGTGAATTCTCTACGCAAAATACATGTTTTGTAAAAATGTTGATAGAACTATCAAATGGGTATTATAAATACATGTAAAATACGTTTTCAAATATACAATAAATAACAAAAACCGCTTGTTGCACCATAAAATTAAGCAACATATAATTCTGTTAGTTTTTGAAATTGCTAAATACATATGTAAAGGGTTTATTTCTGACGAACGACGTAAAAATGTTGTAATTTCGTTTATAATTAATTCCAATAAGTGAATGAAATTCAAAGTTTTCACATTTTGTCTTAACTTCGAAATACAGGTATTACTTCTTGTGTAGTGTCTGTAGTGTGTGTTAGTGTCTTCTAGATAATGTAGTGTTTGTAATCTTATTATTTTATTTCACATAAATTTTGTCAGGAGAATCGGTAGAAAAGAAAATATATAAACAGCAGCTCATAAGATGCATGAAAATACAAAATGAAAATAAACAGTTATGACTCGGGAATCAATTTCTGAATGCGTTGCTATGAAACTGTACCGTCCTTTTAAGGAAACAAATCGAACCTCGGATACGAAGAAAAATGACTATTTCCCAGAGAACCTTTTTTCATTACTCAAAATTAGTTAAAACAAATACGTGGAAAAATTATGACGATCATTTTGGGTATCAATGTTCTTAACCTGAAGTAATGATATGATGACCACATTATCAACCAGTAGGTTGGTTTTGGAGGCCTGGTGTTTCAAACTAATTTGCGAGCATACACTGTCGCATATACTGTATTTATTGGAAGAAACTAAAGCAACAAGTTTGTCAATTTTTGGTTTCCAATAAACAAATAGAGGCTTGTGCTGCTTTGCTTAGAACTCTTATTCTGCACCCTTGCAACACATCAATTCTTCAACTTCAATGGTTTCTTAGAAACGTATTTTAAGTTTCTGCAGTGATACCATAACAGATTTATTCAATCTTAAAACCAATCAAACTATGTAAAAGAACTGGAGTGACCCTAGCAAGTAAATACGACCGTATCGCCGAGATATGAATTTAGGAGTGCAAAAAGTTTCGAGAGGCCGCAACAATATTTTTAATACCGATACCATACATACATGCTTTCTTAAACGCTCTTAAAAATAGTTCTCAAATTTCTTATTAATTCGGAAAATTTCCAAGCTTACTACATACGTATAAAAATTAACTAGAACCATAATGTTTCCGTACAAAATAACGTGACTCAGCCCTCCATTGATAGGGTGGCCCACTTGTGAGTTCTTCGAAACAAGTCGGGACGTAAAATCTGGGACTTCAGTGTCAGATTCGAGCACAATAAGGCACCAGAGATGGATTTCATATACCAAAAGTCGATCCCAAAAGGAGGAAACGGAGTCCCAAGTCCCAAAGACCTGCAGAATTGACTATTGTGTAGTCGAGATGAAAAATTTTCCGAAGTCGTCCAATATTTGAATTTTATCCAATAATTTGAATTATTCCACGAAGGAGTTTTATCCTAACTATTGAAAAAATATTTAGACGAGGAGAATTATGGCACTTAATTTGTAACTCGGAGTACTAATAAATTTTCCATATAAATTATCATAGTCTTTACCAGAGGTGTTGGCGATGAGTAGCTTGCGAAACTAAAGATAGTTTTGGCTAGCTCCGCAAGAACCGAGAACATTGGCAAATAACACGAGAGAGAGGACGACTTTTTGAGTCAGTGACAATCAAGATATACGTTAAGTAAGAATATATCCTTAGGTAAAGTTCCCTTGTACGGAGTAGTTAGAGAATAAATAAATAGGTAAGTACAACCCCGCAAACATAGTTGCAGATTGTACATAAATTGGCATTATGCATAATCGGCGGATAATTGGAGATTACATATTGGTGTACCGTAGTGTAAAACGGCAACACAGGGCATCTGGGCCATAATCCGTCACTTTTCTGTAATCCTTACCCACAACAACTTAAAGTCCCAAACCACCCCCCAGAAAAGGGAAACGTGAATTGACATTAGGTCATCAGCACTCGGCACCACCAGAAGCGTGGATTAACGGCCAAAGATAACGATAGCTTGTCTTCACGACCTTTTTATGGAGGACTGCCTGCGTTTCCCATGTAAAATCAATATAGCAATTCCTAGTCGATGGAGTAAAGTGAATAGGCCTCCTCTGGAAGAAAACAAAAATCCATAATCAGAACTGGTAAACATGCATATTTTATCCAGAAAAAGTAGGTCGCACAAGGACCCGTAACAATTCGGTTCTGTTTCAAATATTCCGTTTAACTTAAGGTACTCATTTGCAATACAAAGGTAAATAAGTTGAAAAAGACTTCAAACTAAAAATTAAAAAATCTAATTTTGCGAGTATGCGTTTCGACGCAAAAGCTGCACCTGTTGATAAATCCTTTCACCATTCACGGTTTCCAATTGATTGGAATTTGCGTATGTTACGTATATTTTTATGAAAAACAAAAAATCGCTAAACTCGCTAAAATACATATCTGATGAATACACATTTTGTGGCAACATTTACGCGAATGAAATTATATCACACATTTTAAAGAATTTGCATATATATCCCCAATTTCCAAATCCAAGTTGCACGTTACCTCATGATTTCCCTAATCTGACAAATTTACACGAATTTTGTCAGGCATATTGGCAGAACAAGATCAAAATACACAAAAAGGAACTCGTGAGAAGAATCAACAAATTCAACAAGCATACATAAATCTAGATAAAGAACATAAATCTTAAACCGCTGGGCCTCCTAAATAAAATTATGCATGTACAATTCCGGGCTGTTTTTTTCGGATTTTACTCCTATTGCTCGGACATAAGTTATAATTTTTTCACTTCGTTTTTTGACACTAATTTGCGAGCATACTCTGTCGAATAAATTGCAGTCTAAACTAATTTACCGACGTATCGGTATTTCACCACCGAGTGGTGAAATCAAGAAAGTATCCCTGACGAATACTTATGTAGCTTCCAGGGAAAATTCTATAGATACAGTAACGATAAGTTGACGTGAATACCCCACACGAAATATGTATCTAAAAATTTGAACCTTGAAAATGTACTTATAGAAAACCCATCTTCCTATTAATTGTTAAAATATTCAAATGAAACGGATAAAAACTGATCACTTAAATTATTATGATAACTTGACGTGAAAACCACGATTAATACCATGACTAACATACATCTGCAAATTATATAAAAAAATGTGAACCAAATTATGTACTGTCAATACAATGTAATAATAGCGAAATTTAGTATTTAAAACCAGTTTATGAAAATTCAAATATTAAAAATAAGTGAGTTCATCAGAACGAATCGTCAGGGACGACGATTTATGTAGAGGGTTGTGGAGTGTCGTGGACCAGCATTTCTGGTCCATAATGTCTCTCCTCTCAATACCGACCCAACCCAGAAATGGAGCTGGCTTGAAAGCCAAAGTTTATCCAACAAAACTAGTAAGCAAAGAAGAAATCATCATCGAGAAGACCCGGATTATAATTCTACAGGTGATTGCAGTTAGCCAAGATAGGTTAGTTAACGATAAATAAGTTAGTTTAATTATAGACACGAATGAATATTGAATAGCTGAAGGTTTTAAATTAAGGAAGATCATTATTATTATTTAAAAAGAGGGAAAAAACTCTCAATATGAGTGTATGTGGTGTGTTCTTCTAAACTCATTATGAGTCGAAAATAATTTGATGCCTAATTTGCAAATTACCATTTAGCAAACAGGAAAATTATGTCCAAGCTAAAAATTGTTAAATTTTCAACTTTTATAGCGTGTGAATCGTAGTATATATGTATAGTGTTTTAAATCTATCTTTCATGCAGCGTAACAACATTCTTATCCAATACATATGTTTTTGGACACAGAATCATGTAACTCTCGAGGAAGGAATCCTACCAAAAAGAAAATTAAATTTCTCCAAACCAAACACATCTACTGCTCCTACTATCGGTACTTTTCCAAATTCAAACAACGAGTATCTTACATATCTCCTCTTCATGCATAACCGAAATCCATGGAAAGTTAACTTTCCACATAAAATGGGCAGGAATAATGAGAGACATGAAACGAAAAAACTCTGCCATCTCCCACTTGAGGAAATTTTATGCATGGAATACATTCCAATTTAGTTCCTCGCGTTACAAAAATCAGTCCGGATTCAAGACACAAAAATACATAAATACTGCATTTGTATATTTCACTCGAAATAATTCAACAAGTGTGAAAAACATTCTGGTACAGGAATGGTGGTCTCAACCTCAGAATTGGAAAAGCATAAATACTCATTTTGCCAGAAAATGCAAAAAAAATAAATAAACGCAACAAAAATTCGATTGATTCCCCAAATGAATTTTGTGACGACTCAACCACGTACGTATGATTATTAACCAAACAATCAAACCTTCCTTTCTCCATTAATTGGATATAGTTACTTCCATTATGATACATATGCATAATTTAAAGAATGATCAGCAATAGGTTGTGAGTCGTTAAGGACGAGATATTGTAAGAAAAGGATGAGATAAAAATATGTAGTCGCGATACTTCTGTAAGTAGTCAGATTCGAACATAAATGTAGCCAAACTTACTAAAGCAATTAATTACAATAAGCAATTATACCGAAAAACTTTGCCCAACCATATTTTTAGGGCTTCTGTTGACAACTGCACCGTGTCCAAAAAGAACGCCGAAGTTTTTTATTACGATATAGGGAGTGGGAGTACCCCTGTTACTCAACAATTTCAAGAAGAAACGACTAAAATTGACTCTAATTGTAATACGACATCGGATTCCGTTCAAGGATCTTTCTCCTACCAGAAGGGAATTACCACAGGGACCAAACTGAATGCAATTCAAAGTTCTACCATTGGGCACGCAGCAAACAGCCCCAGCTTACCTCTCCTGTTCAAATCCCCGTACTACTGGGCACAAACATTTTATTCTTTAACTGTACATACAAAAATTGTCCAGCTACCAAAATACTGCATAAATACTTCTACAAGTTTTCAATATTGAAAAACAATGGCTTTCATACAGTCGGAGGTAACTGAAACCCTGCCTAATTACGCCACGTTGTCCAGCTCATGGGAGGAATAGGTTCATTACGAATGCTCACACTATACCGGGTCTGTCTGTGTCTCAATTTCAGAAGATTTCATGCATTTACATTTTGCATAAAATTCACAGTGACGAATTGAATGTTAAAAACTTTAAGATGGATTAAGTACTAAATAAATATTATTTTGCATGGCGCAAGGCCGATAATTAATTCCATTACCAATCTTCTTCACTTGTCAAGTCGAAATTGCAACTTGTAGGAAATAATCGCACTGGAAGCGAAGCTGACACAATGCATCGAAAATCGCGATAAGAAGACTGAATTTATAAAGATTTGAAAGCTAAGAATTAAATTCTCGATTTGCTTCAAAATATTCTAGTACTTGTACGTAGCATCCAAAAACAGTCCCATCCGCTATAAATTACTTCGTTTAACAATATGTTAGATATATGTTCATTTATAATTTAATTGCATTCTACACATTTTTAACAACACGAGCCAAGCAGTTAGTTGCATCATCCGAATACACTGCTGACAGTTCAGCCATTAACAGCAACAGTAGTAGCCCAAGCGATAAGGGAAGCCAAAACCCAGGCCTTCGCTCAATCAACTTGTTTCTCCCATAAGTAAATAAGTCAACATAATTAAATCCATAAAGCAATGTAATTAAACAAATCCAGTGAAATCAGGGTTCTTTGCATAGCTTAGCCTACTATTTTTTCTAAGCGTCAAAACTTTGATTGTTTGAAGCAATTCCTGACATAATTCTGAAATTCCCTTTATTCATATAGTTGAAACACTTAGTCGCTACAATTGGCTAAATGCTCTAGTCAAAAGCTTTGCGCCTGCAGAGATACTCTTACTGCCGATCCATTGCAGGTCACCTATTACAAACACGAGCCTTATAATGAACAAGATCTTCAAAATGAAAAATACGAAATGCACATGTTTGTATCTATCTCCTCTTCTAATTTTTGCCTCTCGGGTGACGTAAAGCATTGCCAAGCTTATTTACATATTAGAGCAAATTTTAAACTTGCTTTTCCCCGAACTTTCAAATGCGGTGCCAAATCGAATTTCAGTAAAGTTTGCATACACATTAAGAAACGCATTTAATTCTACATGTTACTCTAATCAGTTACAAATTTCCTACGTATTTTCGGAAGGAAGTGCTCAGAAATTTCAGAAATTAATTTCATGGTCATGACTTTCTATTTTTCTTCATGAATAAGCACTACATCCTTGCCAACGCAATATCGCTAAATAGCATTTGTTTTTAAATTGAGCCTACAAATTATTTTGTATCCTAACTACCAATTAATTGCCACTAATTTTTGCAGACTAAATATGATACCAGCTGCAAAAATACGTGACTGAAGACGTATGTATAAAGTTTTATTATTTGATCACAGAAATTTTCGGGCAGATTATAATTAAGAACTTAACGTTAAAACTGTACTAAAAATTATGACTGATTTTTAGTACGCCTAATTATGTTTCTGACGTTAATTAACGACATTAACTAAACACGTGTAAAAAATAATGATAGCCTTAAAATACGGTTCCCACGCTGTCCAAATGTTTTCAGACTAGAAACTGGTTTTTGGTTCCGGACGCACTGATTTTCTTGAAGGGGTTCCACGTCTGTTAATAACAAAGCATATTTACATTCGTAATACGAATTTCGTATGTAATAAAATTTTTAATATGTATTTATCAATAAATGTGCGAAAAATAGTAACATTCCAAAAATAAAAATATTTCGTCACAAAATACCTCCCAAAATCCATCAAAACGAGAAATGGGACGAGTTGAAGGGATTGCCCAATTCATCTTCAGTTCTTATCGACGCATTTCTACCAATAAATAAAACAATTCACTGGTCAACAACCCATGGAAGTATTCAAAAATTAACTATACTGTAAATCAAGTTAACGATGCCAATTTTACTCATATGTACTTGTGCACATTTTGCTTAAAGTGAACCAAAACGACAAGGTTCATTTATTATGACAATGTATATATGTACATATATTCTTTAAATATGCACAAATATTTTTACTTCATGCAATAGTTTTTTAAATGAACTTGCAAAATAACAATCAAGATTTTACATTAAGCTTTCAAATAAATTTTTGCAATTTACATACTACCGTGAGTCATGGTTACACTCTTAAAAAAATCAATAACCGTTGGTATTGATAAAAAAATTAATATAATTAAAAATATATAATAATATATAAAAATATATAATATATAATATAATATAATTAAAAATATTGTTAAAAAAATTAATACTAATTAGTATTGAAACAATTACTATGAAGTATAATTTAAATACCCGTTGTATACCAATATGGTATTAAAAGGTAATACAACCCTACTAATTGGTTTTAATTTTTTTCAATTCAACACCAGATCAATACCAAGGCGGTAGAGTCACGTATCAATACCGTTTGGCTTTTTCAATACCAAGTTTCTAAGAGTGAAAATCTTTATTTGCACCAACCCGTGCCCCACTTTGCTTTACATACCTACATAGTTGAATTAAATAACTTCATTTTATCGCTAATTTCTCATAATCTTTGTTTGCTTAATGACGCCTTCTAATTACGCAAACTCTTCAACATTTAAAAAATATTTAATTTCTTGCATTAAAAGTTCCCATAAAAATTTGTACTTACAATTTCCATTATTGTTGAAATCAATTACGTAATAATTACGTAAGGAAGACGACGAATTGGAATCGCGAGTAGCTTGAACATTTGTGAATTTCGACGCCTAAACACAAAGATTATTTAGAATTTTAAAATAAATTTAGTACTACATATGTAGACAAACTTAAATCGGAGGAAAGTTATGGATTGTCCGGTGAAAGATAGTGTCAAGGTTCCCCTTACTTTTTCAATCACTTAAAAACTAATTTTGGATAAGTAATAGAGCACCAAATTTAGCAAATTTGATAAGCTTTCTAAAACTGAAAACATAATTTGATTATCTCTTTTGGTTAAAAAATGACAGCACAAACTTTAGATGACGTGGAAAAATTAATTTGCCACTCGTGCGAAAAACTGATTTTTTCGGATCGGAAAAAGGCTCGTGACCACTTAATCCGTCAAGGGATGCACCCGACAAAATTCATCCCACACTAGACATATCTAAGGATCGTGAAAATGCAAAATTTAAAATTTGGCCTTGTCGGCCTGTCCGCCAGAGGACCAAAATACTGACTAGAAACGTGAAAAAATTTTTCTGAAAATATCGCAACAGATCCGTGAGGGTTGCGCCCAGACGACTAAAAATTTCAAAAACCTAACGTCCCAAAATCAAGGCCAATATAATAGGCTTCAAAACTTGCAACACTAAAACCTCGCCAAAATACAACGAAGATAAAAAAGACGTATCTAAAACAATTTTTGGAAAACTTTTTGAGAAACTGTTAAAATAGGCTCCAAGAAGTTTCTTGTCATGGATGATGAGAACTACTGCTCCGTTGACCTCGAATCGTCAATCCTGTAAAGTTCTACTCATGTAGAAGTAAAAATGACGTTTGTTCGAAATATTAATTCAAAACCAAGCAAAATTTCGAATGAAGTACATAAGATGGCCGGAAATCGATAAAAATGGGAATGTCTCAAATCCATTCGCTTCCACCAAGATTATGCACTCTGAACTTTATTTGAAAGAGTGTATCATCAAGACATAGACCCCCTCTATCCAAAACAAACGCGTTTTGTTTTGGCCGGACATGGCTACGTGCCATAGCACCAAAATAGTGACAGAGTACTTTCGAGGAAAAAAAAGTTGATTTCGTCAATAAGAAAGATAGCACCCCAAAAGTACCTCAGTGTCGACCCAGTGAAAGATTTTGGGCATAAATTGAGAAATAATACTCATGAAAAAATTACACCAAATAATTTCAAAAAATTTCGACGGGTTATGGAGAAATTAGTCATATGCGTCAGTAAAACGAGTGGCAAAGCGCTCGTGAGGGGTCCTCGACAAAGTTGTCTCTCCACCGGTACGGAAGGGGTATCTCAACCACTGAAGGGTTGAAAAACTTTGGTATGTTCATCGTTCGTCTCCCACCAAAGTTTCGTTGGATTTTATTCACGCATGTATTTTCTGCAGGTCAAACTAGCTTGACACTTAACTTCACCGGAGAGTCCATACTTATGTAGATACCTGAGCGTTATAAATCATCGGTTTTGCAATTTATTTTTTTTCATTTTTTGCAAACTCTAATCACCCAAAAGTTAAATGGGCTGATCGATATCTAAAGTATTGGGCCTTGTACCTGATCACATTGCAATTATAATACCTTCTCCTCCCCCACACTAATCCAATTTGAATTAATCTTATACCAGTAAAAATACCAGTAAAAACTTACTTTAAAAAAATTACTTACAAAGCACTGATTAAAGTATGTAAAATGGGAAACGATAAATACTGTCGCCAAAACCAGATATGCATGTAAATGAAACCATTTAATCAACTGTGTTCAAGGGGCCGTCCATTAATAACTTTCTTACTTTTCTCCCATAGAATTTTGCTCTCTTCATCGCTTTAAACCCATAAGCCCAATTTCTTCCAAATAACAACGTCACGTCTGAGCGGCCCACTGCGACATCAAGTCAAAACCAGAAGGAAAAAGTTATTTATATCCCCTCCCAATCTTCTCGATTCAAAGTGCACAGAAATGCGAATGTGCATGTTTACACATATTTATGTATGTATCGAGTCTAGAAAATGATGCAACTTCGCAAATTTTGGCACTTTCCGAATAAAAATTCGGAAAGTCATATACGTCGGCTTTACTTATTAAAACCCATTCGCCATTAAATTGATTTTTTAAATTTTAGTTAAAAATTAGACCCTTTCTAGAAGTGCCAAATTCTGACAAATGTTTCATTTACATGACATTAATGAAAAGCAGTGCTATTCATGAATCATCATTCCGGTAGCATTATAAACATACATTTGCACTCGGGCCACTAATGATTTAAGTAGATCCGTTGCGTTGATAAAAGAGTTTGCTCATGTTTTAGCAAAGCCACATGTAGAGCCGGAGTTGATCTTGTTCTGAATTTTCTCCGGGTTCGGATTTCTGCGAGAGATTTGTCCAACGTGTAAAAGCTGCTCACTTCTTTTCATACCACGCCATTCTCCATATGGAAGTAGATCAATCGATAATCATGCATTCCCAGCTGCTGTACATTTCCTAAATAATTTTGTGACATTGTACATATGCATTTCATAAAAAATTTGGCCATAGTTTTATCTGGAAAATTTAAACAACTCATAATTGTCGTGTTATTATGTCAATTGTCATACTTGGCCGAGTAAGCGTGGAAAATATCTCTGATCCAGTGGAGCCCGCACTGGACGTAAACTCCAATGTAGAGGTAAACCTAATTATTCACTAAAATATTCCTTATTTCCTATTTAGTTTTGCTATTTATGCATGAAGGAACGATTTAGATTTTTTCAGTTTTTAAATTTTGCCGATATTCACGTCAACTTTTCAAAAATTTATGTACATGTATGTATGTATACACAATCGAACATATTTAAATTTCATTTATTTCGTAACTCAAACTTAGATAATTTGTCTCGTAAATTTAGCAAAAATATATTTTTACAGTTAAAGGATTCACGTCAACTTCATAATGACTGTAAACCTCACTCGCAATTTTGCCAATTATGCTTATTTTTTGCTAATCGTGCAAAACAACAGTCATCTTTGATAATGTAAACGGCATATTTTTCGCCAATTCATCGTCTAGTAGAATTTTTGTTTCTCGTCTAATTTTCAGAGTAAAACGTTCTTGTTTTTAAAATTCGTCGCATGTCTCACAACTTCGCATGTTATGAAACACACATGTGTGAAACAAAAGTGTGTCAAATCAACACGGCCGGTGTCAATATATGACCTACATAACCGCCTTGGTTAAAATGTTGATTCCGAGTTATGATGATTTTTATACCGGTAGTTATAAATGTTATGTATAACCGGACGGAATCATTTCACTACCATCCGGAATCACAATCGTAACCAAGGCGGTTAAGGCATATGTATATTGACACCGGGAATGTTGATTTGACAAATTTTTGTTTTCAGTGTACTTGTACGACTCTTGCCATGTTTGAGACGCTTTGTTTGAGACGCTTTGACACCAGACACTTTTTTGCACATGCATTAAATTAGCGATAAATTTATTAATTAAGATGGAAATATTAGATTTTAACAGTTACGATAAATATTAACCAGAATAATTCCTACATATTTCTAGGACCCGCATCCCGAGATTGACTACTACCTCGTCCAACTTGACCCAGCTCCCACCCCCCAGATCTACACGGACCTCTTCTCGTACACTTTCCGCACCCGGAACGCCACTTGTGGCTTCCTAAAACGCTTCCTCGCCGCCTTAACCACGCCACCCAGTACTCCGATTGTGTAAAGAACATATTTTTACCTACAAACGGAAAGCAGTTTGAGAATGACGCAAAATTACCAAGAAATGAATATCGTCGTACTAATTCTTAAAAGACCTAAGTGCAGTCGATGCTTAATTGATGAAAGACCGAAGTGTTCAGAAAAAAAGTAAAAAATGACCTACGTGCAAGTATGTATTTACGTATGGCTAAATCGCGCGATATATGAAATATCGTTTTGGCAAGATATAGCCATATGTAAGTAAATACATACTTGCACTTAGGTCTTTTTTACTTCTTCCTGTACACTTAGGTCGTTTCTGAATTAAGCATCGACTGCACTTGGGTCGTTTCTGAATTAAGCATCGACTGCACTTGGGTCATTTCTGAATTAAGCATCGACTGCACTTAGGTTTTTTATGAATTAGTAGGACGATATGCATTTAGTAAAGTAGTGGAGGTGATAATTTTTTATGTTCACTATACTTATGTCCAAACATCGCATGTGTAGTTGCGCAGATCTGTTACGAAGGGCCGTTTTTGATGAATATCTGGACATTATCAACTAAATATTACGTGGGTTTTAAATTTTTTGAGATGTTCTGGTAGTCAATTCTTTCAACGTGGTATTCTACGTTGTCACAATATTTCTCGGCGGCACCTCGCTAACCATTTTCTTCTCCCAGTAATTCCGTAAAATGCAACATCGCGTAAATACATAGCTCACTCTCCACTGCACGCCTTCCCATTCCATCAGGTTATCCTTCAGATAATACCAACTACGACCATCACTACTAGCCCAGCAGGATGACGAGTTCGTTATTTGGCCACAGATTGGCGTCAAATCATACTGCAAACCGTCATGATTTCCACAGGCGTACGCTGTATCCGTCAAATTGTGCTTTTCATACGTGGCAATGTCATCGGCTTCATATTTGACACGATCACGGCATGAAATTGGCTGGACAACCCTGTGCATAAATTCATCTCCTCCACAGCATTCTTTAAATTTTTGAATATTTTCCACGTCCATATCAAGCTGACAGCTGTCCCGATTTTTATAACTGGAACAATCCAATCCTACTTTTCTAGTGACGCCAAAAAAAGTGACGTTCATTTCAAATTGTCTCGCACATTTTACCGTTTGTGTATTGTTTATCTGGTAGATCCCAATCTTATCTGCGTAAGACTGACAGCCCCATTGCTCAATTTCGGTAGGAGATACTTTCTTCGAAATTTTAACTATGGAGTCTGTCAGCGATTTAATATGCATGGAAAGGCGATGGATTCGGTTATGGTGCTCGGACAACTTTTCTCGATTTTTCGTTGCTCCATCTTTACCGCAGCAAGTTTTGAACTCGGCTTCGTTAATCGGCTTGACGTCAAAATGGCACCAGGTTGGTGACTAGATCTGCGGGCACTTGCCATTAATTGCACATGCGATGGTTTTTTCATCAGAGTTACACCTCCAGTAATCTCGCATCTCTAGGGAGGAAAGCAGTAGAATTTAGTAGTTACTCAAATACAGGGTGGTTTAAATGTCAGGTTACAATGGAAAATTTTTCAATGGGAAAAATTCGTAAATTTCCATTAGTCACGGATTTGGGATTGAGATTTCTATTAATTTTTATCAAAACTTATGGAACACTGATGACAAAATTCTTAAAATATTCAATTTCGGAGGCAAAAATTCGGTAACTAATGGAAGTTTTCGAATTTTGTCCATTAAAAAAATTTCCATTTTAACCACCCTATACATTACATGTTCAACTATGTCGACCAGGGCGATTATACGATTGAAGGAATTATCTAATTTATAAACTTCGAAATTTTTAATTACCATCTCTTCCAAAGAAAAAGCAATCGACGGCTCGATTCTCGGGAGTCTCATTTTTTGTTTATTTCTCGGTGACATTTCTGAAATTATAGATATACAATTTTTAATGTATTCCGACGACATTATAATCTATACCCATGGATGTGACACCGAAATTATAAAATCCTCGTTAGTAGCCTGCTTCGATAAAATGTGCACCTGGTTTGATGCTAACAAAATGGTTGCAACTTCGACAAAACCAAGTTCATGATATTTTGTAAACAACACGACTCTGTACCAACTAATATTACCCCATTTATTGTACAAAACCATACAATTGAACGGGTCAATAGCTTTAAGTATCTCGGTATCCTACTCGACCCAGCGCTGAACTTTAACTTACATTTTGACTCAGTTTACAAGAAATTGTGCGGTAGAGTTAAATTCCTATATGGTGTCAAGAGATACTTAAATGTACAGGCCTTAAAAGCTATGGTAAATGTATGTATTTTGGGAGGAGGGCTCCTCTTGTTGGAGGAGCCCAATGCTCAGATCATCCATCAGATCTATTGCATATCCTCTTACTTACACCGTATGACAGTGGCTATCTAGTTGCTCAGGTATAATCCCCATATCTATTGATGAGATATGGGGATCGAGAAACCATTTAAGGATAGTAAGACAGGAAGAGACGCCGGCTTGCCGTAAGCACCACCACTCACCCCTGCACTTACGGGGCCAGTCCCACTCCGCCTATCCTCTACCCACCACTGCCTATTCAATCTTAATGTATGCCCCTTTGGACGCGAATACTGCCACGGAAAGGCAGCATGCTCAGTCCACTCTACTGAGTGTCCAGCTACAAAAAAGCTATGGTAAATGCACACCTACACTCTCTTACCGACTACTGCCTTGACATTTGGGCCATACATAACGACACTAAACTGGACACCTTACAAGCAAAAATTGATAAATTTCTTTGTATTTATTTTTACTCGAGAGTTGCGAAGAAAACAAAAAAGAGTACAAGTGTTTCCTTCTCGAGCATGCGCAACTCGGCTGAAATGACACGGATTCGTGATAACTGTAACTTTTTGACATTAAGTGAGAGACTGAAGTTGGTAACTCTTAAAAATGCTTATAAGAGATGGTCTCTAGGCAAGCTTTCTTTTTCCGACAGTAGAGTTTCCTCGAATTTATCCATGCCGAAGCTTGACCCTATTGTGCACAGGACTGAGTCCCGTAAGTGGGCCCTCACATATCGCACCTACAAATTATGGAACGCCCTCCCAAAAACCTGGACATTCAAAGACATGACTTACTCAACGTTTTGTGACTCTGTTAAAGATTATATTTTAAGTCTTCGTGAAACAGTGTAAAAGCAACTGTATGTATTATTTAGTTTATAGTTATAGAAACATTGTATTAGTACATATATTCAAATTTTATTTGAGATTGTCGCTGGGTGTCCAGGGCTGAAAACCAGCACTTGTGCTGACGCTCGTACGACACCATTAATAAAAACTTCAATCAATCAATCAATCAATCAATCAAGACGATTAAATTAGCTGCTTTTAAATTATAGCAAATCTGTCATGAATTCGAAACCAGTTTGTATTAACTGATATTTGTTGACAGTTGAATAAATGATTGCATACTGATATATACTGATATATATTGATTGCACCTGGCTAACATTGAAGACGGGCTGAAATTTAAATCCAATCCATCCGGTTGACTTCGCAATCGTCATACCCACTCATCCATGGAGGAGTTGGTAGTTTGGGAATGATAAAAAGCTGAGTGCATGTAAAGCGTGTTGATTTAATCCGTCCCAATTTTTCCTTAAATATGTACTTGAAGACTTGTAACTCAAAACGGATGAAAACTTGGGCTCTTCAGTTAAATGTTGTGAGGCTCATGATTAGGATAAGACTGAGCTTCATTCTACACATGGTAAATTTTAAAAAAATATATCAACTTGTTCGAAATTTATGTTTAAATATTATTTGAGCCCAAAATTCCATACTCAGGACGAAATAAATCAAGACCTATTACAAGAGCACAAGGCGAATAATGGCTATTCAAAATTACCGAGATGGTCGCAATTAGCCGTATCTGGGTATAAACTACATAATAATATAAATCATACATAGATTTAAATTGGATAAAATACTTCTTGACCTTGCATATTTATTTATTTATCGGTAGATATACAAACATTAAGATATTTCAAAAATTCACCTTGACAGCGTTTAAACGAGGAGTTGAAATACCTCAAGTAGTGTCCCTCCGCACAGTCGCATAATCCATCTTGGCATATCGTATTCTTCCCAGTACACGGGTCGAAACATTTCGAAACTCCTTTTAAGCAAGTTAAAAATATACCTGCGTTAGTTACTGCTGGCCCTGCGATTATTAGGATCTGACCCGTAGCCAAAATAAAGACGCGGGAATTTTCTTCTCTATGCATAACTGATATTGGGCTAAATTTTATACTTAGAGAACATGTATTTACATAGAAGACTGTCCTTTGAGACAAATTTGGTCCAAAGTTTCGTATAAATGATTCCACCAATATTTATAGTTTTTGTGTTGCGTGTATAAAGTATCGTGCCATGTACATATTGCCAGATTTGCAGATTATACACGTATTAAGTATTGTTCGCTAATTTTTGATTTATTTAGTATTGGTAAATACGAAATTACAGGATAAAGTTTATAACGTATCTATTTATATAAATGCACGATATGCTGGGTCACGAATGACTTGAATTATGAATTTCCCTCTGCATATTCGTTTAGTTCCAGATTTTGTAGAAAACTATAACGAAATGAAAACGGTCCGAATACTGTTTCCCTTGAGCTACATATATCCCCGATTAACGTACAACCTTAAAATTAACTTAACATTACGTACATGACAATTTATATATATTAAGGTTTTATTGATTAGGATAAAGCATTTCACGTCAGCTTTCGCAAGCCTATAAACACGATATTAGCAGGGATGGGCAATCCCAACAATTTCGATGGATTACGGATTACAGATTAATTAATTTAAAAATTTACATGGGATTACTGGATTGGGATTACTTCGTTCCTGAAATAATGTGGATTACTTGTTGGATTACTGGGATAAATTAATGACGTGGATTACGGATTACGGATTACAGTAATCAGATTACGGATTATTATCTGAATTACAAAAATCAATATTTATGTATTAAGGGGTGAAGAGAAGCGAAATCCCTTTATGGAAAAGTGTTGTCCGCCGGTCTGTATCCACAATAACTTTAGAACGGTTTCGAATTTCAACATGCAGTTTTCGCCAACGGGTTTCTAATTTTTGAGGTATGGATGAGTGAGTAAATGGGAATTGTAGGTCATAAGGTCACGGCGCCACGGTGAAGACGCCACGGGTCAAACTTGTCGAATTTTTTGTTTTGGACATAGTTTCGGGCGAGGGTACAAAAATCTTCATCGTTTTGACGTGACATGACCGAGTGACCGTGTCGACGACGCCAAACTTGAAAATGTCGAGTTTTTGTCTTGATACTTTTAGACGTAGTTTTAGGCGGGAATTTCAAAAATTAAATCTAGACATAGTTTTGGCATGCCATGACCGCATGACTGTCTCACTCCACCCCTTTGCTACATTTCGTTTGCAACGGTTTATTCTGAATAGCGTCACTTAATTTCATGATGATGATTAGCTCAAAAAACAAGAGCTTTGAATGATTCATCCGACAGTCGGTTTCTTAGGGCAGACAACAATGTATTGTAGTAAATAGACCCCTCTTAATTGTTCCAAAATTCTCTTTACTTTGCACCTCTGCTGAAGAATCCAGAAGGTAGTTTCAGCATTCAAGTTCAGCAAGTGACTCAGACTCTGGAGAAGTTGCAAGATGGAGCTGTCATGCGGTTGACAGGAGCAAAGTAATCCAACAAAGTAATCCGTAATCTGATTACATTTTCCAATCTCGTAAATTGGGGATTACGGATGACACATAATTCCAAGACCTAGCTAGGATTACGGACTACGGATTACTTTAAACTGTGAATTTTTCGTGGATTATTGGATTACGGATTACATTCAATGTAATCTGATTACTTAATCTGATTAAAGTAATCCTGGGATTGCCCATCCCTGCATATTAGGTTACGAAGGTCAGCCCAAGACATGCATTTCTTGTCCCCACCTAAGATTAAGTATGTAAAGTTCGTAGGTAGGTCGTACAAAACAAATGTAGTTTCGTAGTATTTGTCCCAAGTAA